GAAGCAAATTTGGTGGTACTTCAAAGGATGAAGGAAGTGATGATGAAGAGAAGAGCACACCATCATTTGAAGCTAAGGCAAAAATGCCATTCCCACCCAAGAAAGCTTCTTTTGGAAACAAATTTGGTGGTACTTCAAAGAATGAAGGAAGTGATGATGAAGAGAATAGCAAGCCATCATTTGGTCAAGCCAAGGCTAAGATGCCATTCCCATCCAAGAAAGCTTCCTTTGGAAGCAAATTTGGTAGTGTAGCAAAGGAACCAAAATTTGGAAAAGCTGATGCTTCAAAAGATGAAGGAAGTGATGATGAAGAGAAGAGCATGCCATCATTTGGTCAAACAAAGGCAAAAGTACCATTGCCACCCAAGAAAGCTTCTTTTGGAAACAAATTTGGTAGTGCAGCAAAGGAACCAAGCTTGGGAAAAGTTGATGGTTCAAAGGATGAAGGAAGTGATGATGAAGAGAAAAGTGCACCATCATTTGGTGAAGCCAAGGCAAAAATGCCATTCCCACCGATGAAAGCTTCTTTTGGAAGCAAATTTGGTGGTACTTCCAAGAATGAAGGAAGTGATGATGCTGAGAAGAGCATGCCATCATTTGGTCAAGCCAAGGCAAAGATGCCATTCCCATCCAAGAAAATTTCTTTTGGAAGCAAATTTGGTAGTGCAGCAAAGGCACCAAACTTTGGAAAAGTTGATGGTTCAAAGGATGAAGGAAGTGATGATGAAGAGAAGAGCACGCCATCATTTGCTCAAGCCAAGGCAAAAGTCCCATTCCCACCCAAGAAAGCTTCTTTTGGAAGCAAATTTGGTAGTGTGGCAAAGGAACCAAACTTTGGAAAGGTAGATGGTTCAAATGATGAAGAAGGTGGCGATGAAGAGAAGAGCACGCCATCATTTGGTGAAGCCAAGACAAAGATGCCATTCCCACCAAAAAAGGCTTCCTTTGGAGGTAACACCAAGTCACCTAAGTTTGGAAAGGTAGATAATGGCGACGCCGAGAAGAGCACACCATCATTTGGTCAGAGTAAGGCTAAAATGCCATTTCCGCCCAAAAAGGCATCCTTCGAAAGTTCTGCAAAGATTCCAAATGTCGGGAAGGTAGATTCGTCGAAGGAAAGGGCGTCAACGGAGAGGTCGTCAACCAAAAGCTTTTCCCCAACTAAACCTGATTTCGGATTAAATTCAAAGAATGGTGTTTCGGAAAATGGTAAGGATCGAAAATCAGAAGAAATGGAAAGCGACTTTTTTACCGATGTTTCAAGGAATGGATATGACGTAGTGCAGGAGAGAAGTTTCGAAGATGATGACGATGCACCTGTTGGTGCAAACGATGAAGTCGATACTCAGGAACTTACTACAGGCCCGTCATCGGGTGGACACGTACCTTCCGCGCGACCCATATCTGGAGACGATCGAGAAAGTAGCCGGGAATCGACGTTTTTGACCGAAGAGAATCAAAAGAGCTTTTTCCCAAAGACTTTGTCAACTAAATCAGAGGAATCCATGTATCGTGTTGAACCGCGAACTGGAACAGTGGAGCAAAAATCTGAATCAAGCCAAGAGGAGGAAGAAGAGTCGGCCTATTTTACAGACAAAACGAAGGAAGGAAGTTTTTTTCCACAGCCACAATCATCTCCACTTCAATCTCAACTTCGGAAAGATGATTCCAAACCCCGTATACAACCCATCGAAGAAACTGCGTTGGGCGAAACCGATGGTTTGTATGGCAAGACCCCCGACGAGCTCATGGCCGAAGTGATGAGAATAGCTCGCGAGCAAGAAGAAAGAGAGGCCAGGGAGTAGAATAGCCGTGTATAATAGAATATGAATGAATAAAAAACTGATAGAAGAGGAAATGATTAAGCAACGGAATGTTATTCTGACTATCAGCTCCGATAATTTCCATTTCGATCCTTTTGCGATTATAGAACGAATTTTTTGAGAGGAGATGTTACCCGATAACTTCTGCTGCATGTAGCTTGAGCAATGTTCCATTGATTTCATCACTGCCTGTGAAATAGTGAAGTTTTTCACTCTTAAAATGGCACATAGTGAAGGCTGTTTCCATGTCATCATACAAACTTGATATGTCCCCTCGCTTCCACACCGTTGTGTTGATTTTTCATTGAAATATTTGCAACGATAGATTCGTTGTAAGTTACCCAACTAATCGCTGACTTCATTGGTGGTCGAGTTCGTCGAAATTCGTCGTTGCTTTCCCTTGCTCCTTTCGCACTGTGCTATTTGGAGCACACACCTTCTAGATCTTTCTACAGTATGGCGAGTCAGGAATTGAGGCAGTGTGTGATAGTTGCGTAGCTCACCAGATGGGAGGCTGCTAGATGTGTGATCCACCATCTGACACGTACGGTACTCTTAATTGATTTATCTGGGCATGAACACCGACTTGACTTGACTTCATTCTTTTCTTTCAGAGTCGGTTCCAAACTTCCTTCTCGTAGAGACAAGAAGCAACCGATAAGTTTTTCATTGAGCTCCGATTGAGAGTACTTTGCTCTTACCTTCGATGACCAAACGATTGTCAATTCATATCGGCGTCACACAATTATTTCAGACTCTTTTCCCAAATTTAAAATCGATTTTCTTAAGATGGGACACAAGCACGACTGACATGATGTAGAGGAATACAGTAAATTGTAAGAAGAATCAATAAAAAACGAGAAAAAAGTATCTTACTGTAGCTTCAAGTCCGGCGTCAACGGGTACGGTATGCAGAGAGAAAAACTGTGTAGCCCAAGTACTCTATTCGACGTAGCAGCTCTCCAAAGAAAAATCTCTATTTTTCGTAAAGAAAAACCGCCTGTGTTTCCATTCTGTACCGTATGTCTCTCCTGTAACTAAGAAGACGAACTTCAGAAAAAAGTACAGAACACACTTGAAAAACAATAAAATACACAAAGCACACCTGTCAAACAAAACTTGTCTTGTTGCTTCCACAACTACCAAGGAGTACGAGTACTGCACGTAAGCTTACACTCCAGAACCACAGCAACATTGAAACGTACCAATACAAAATACTTCCTGAGGAAAAGTAGGAATTGCATCTCCGGCGACCAAGACGATACAAACGATGGTGTCGTTCCTCTCTCTGTTCTTTTTGTTTTTCATCATTTATCACGATGTATTTGTTACTGTCGATGCCTTCGCGACGATGAGCAGGGCTCCGATTCCAATTGCGAGTATTTCCGGAAGGACATTGCTGTGGTCGTCGCCGAAAACGACCAAACTAGAGAAAGAAACCAGCACAGACAAAACTACGGAATTATCAGAATCCGAATCGACGGAGTCCGGCCCAGAAAAAATTCCTGTCGCAATGGACGCTGGTATCGACGCAATGATGAAAGAGGCGGAAAAAAGCGATGAATCGGAAGAGGAAAATCTTATGCAACAAATCAAGGACTCGGGTGTCGCTGGTGTCATCAGTTATGCCGCCTGGGAATTAGCATTTTGGACAATAAGCGTTCCCGTCTGTATTTTCGGATATAGAGAGGTCACAGGGTGAGTGTTCTATTGTTCGATATCTTCTTCACGAAAAACTTTTGCCTCGTCAGTCACCAGATTTTGAATACATTCCAATGCTGTGTCGCTAACCATTTCCCACTGCTCTTACTATTTTGATGGATTCAAAAAGACACTGGCCAGATTTTCAGGACAAAGACGACCTATCTAAATTGGGCGCCGAGGCCTTTGCCTTCGTGAATTTTGCGAGATTCGCCGTCCCTTTGCGAATAGGCTTAGCGTTGGGCACGACACCATGGATCCAGGAAAATATAGTAGACGTCTTTTTTGTAGATGAGGATGTAAACGACGACAAGGCCGAGGAAGTTATTGCAGAAGCAAGGGAAATGAAAAACGACGAGACCACGGAAGCGTTGGCAGAAGAATCCGCATCTATGAATGGCAATKGGATCAAGAAAGCAATGGTAGCAGAAATCGAGCCTGCAAATGATATCGCGACCGAGGAGGCAACTGAAGAAGAAAGTAAAGATACCAAACATGACACTAGCGTTGAAGTGAAAGTGGCAGAAAGCAATGAAGCTTCTTCTATCACCGATGAGCAAGTCATTCTCGAGGATGAGAAAGAGGAGATAGATTCCAAATCCATTGCGGGCCGCTTTCGTATTCGATCTCGTATCGGAAACCTTGTCAACCGTATTTTGAGGCGTAAAAGACCGTCGGAATAGAATTGAATAGAACATGAATGTGGTATATTTTTAGTTTCGCTCTCACTTTGGTGAACATTAATGTATGAGAAGAAATTCTTATGTTTTTTCGTGACGAAGTTCTAGGATTCCGATCTAAACTATTTTTGGGTCATGAAATATAGATTCACTGTGCGCAATTGTTCCAATTGAAAGTCAAATGGTATCGTAGTGGTCAATCATCTCGCGTCGTGTCCGAACTTCCCTGTATGATTCAAATTGTTCAGACTCTAATTATTGATGGATTCTATATCGGAGTCATCCGAAGACGATAACGACAGGCATGATTTCATCCCTCTAGAACCTTGTAATCGCTGAAATTTGTACGTGCTTTTCATGCTCCTACTTATCGTTTGGCGATTTTGCTCCGCTCTCCGGTGCTTTTTCCATTCTCGAAAGAAGACAGCAACCTTCAACCTTATCTTTGATTCGTCTTCGAGCACGACCCACCAGCCTTGTTGATCCCATGACAGAAAACGTCCCTTTCGTTTCCGTATTTCATCAACTACCCACCAAGCAATCCTGGCTTTCCCAGATTGAGATGCTGCATCGTGCTCAAGAATTTTTGATTGAATCAATCCGTGGAAGTAGTCATTTCCAGGATGGTGCATCAATGACATTCCTTTGCGAAAAGCAACGTCATTGAGGCCAGGATACTCAACAAATGATGTCGTTGGGTTGAAATTGGTACCATTTTGGGTGCTCATGTTCTTATTGATCATGTACTGTGTAGACATCAATGTTGCCTGAAGCTGCATCTGAATATTCCAATTCATTACGTTTGTCTGTAAAAACGGCTGTAGTTGCAATTGGCTTTGTCTGTGGCTCAAAGACGCAGCATCCGCAGATTTCTTTTCTTCTACAATCTTTCGCATCGCAATCCACTTGTGAAAGTTTCCTGTTTTGACATTGCCTGTTTCTGTTATCGGTATTTGACAGACAGGCACCCCAAAAGTTCCGAGTTGGTATTTCAGTTCTATTTCTTCCCCGATGTGAAATCTTAATCGATTTCGGTGTTCGGCGCCTCCGACTGTAAGTGAAAAAATCGCCCGTGCCATCCGATAAAAGTGGGAATCCGGGAAACAAAAATGAATTCCGCATATTCTGAGCGGTATCGCCGAAAACAATTTTCTCACGAGCTGCTGTTCGCTTGGGCTGGGCAGTTTCATATCTTTCCGTCCATCCCAACAAATCAAGACAGCACCGTTTTGTTGGGTCGCAACGTCGTTCGAAGCGACCGTCCATATGTACAAAAATATTTTGACCTGTAAAAATTGCACGATGAAAATACAAAGACTTCAGTTTTGAAATAAACGGTGCAATTTCACTCCGAAGCAACCATAAACAACAGAAACCGCGTATGTTTATATCGAAGGCTCGTACGTACTCTGATGTATGTGCTATAAAGCAATGCATCGGTAGTGATCATGATTATCCTTCGACCGGCGCGATCTCCATAAGGCAACAATTGAATGAAGCCAGATCGGAAGGCCACTCGTTCTTCTTTCGTCGTCTGAACATCTATCAGACGGATAGGGCAGCTCAAACAGATATCCCCGTATAGCTCTTGCACGAGCTCCAAGTAATTGACCAGTAACAAGGCTGCTGCATCGACGTCAAATAACTTGCATCGCAAGAACTTCAAGCGAAATGTGAGATCGTTGACGTATGTCCCTGATGTGTATAAAAAACTCTGGGCTTTCAAAAATGCTGTCTTTTTGTGGGCTGGAATTCGGTGTTCTAGCGTATGATTGAGATCGTTTAAAGCCTTCGTTACAATATCTTTGTTGATCTCGCTGTCGTTTTCTTTGATTGCCAAACTGCGTACACCATGTAATTCTTCGTAGATAGAAGTGCGATCTCTTACAGATAAGTCCATTAATTCCTTGGAAAGCAAATCATCTACCTGTTTGCATGGATCTCTCGAATCTACAGTTTGACTGGGATCGGGACACAGATCGGAGTTATCTAGGTCACAATCATGGCCCAACCTCATGTCCCCGTCCAGGCTTAAAGACAAGTCCATAATCCCGTTACCGTTATCTGATATTCGCATCGTTGAGTCGCTTTCTTGCATTTCAGGATCCCGTCTTGATGATTTTATGTCACACCAACTTTGATTTGAGTTGGATGGACCGTGACTTTGGCTACAGCAATCATTATTGCTTCTGTCAGTTCCACCAATATCGTTGAAGATATTGGTGACGATCTCGTTGAAATCATTTGGTTCTTCGGCTGTTTTCATGGCAACTACTATGTGATTCGGGATTACCCAGCCGAATTGTTTCTTTCTCGCTCGATCTTTCATCATCCAGCACGTTCGTGGTAGCAACTCCAATTTACCGTTACTCGTACCGGTACGCGTACGGTTTTCTTGATCGTAATATTATTGGTCTGCTTCGGTGGCAGTGGAAGTCGAATTTATTTTCAATTTAGTCGCATGCCACCAGCATTTAAGCTGACATCTCATTCCCGTAACTTTATTGTTTTACGATGTTTCTTACAGTTAAAAACCCTACCAGCTCTACGACTGAAAACAGCCAACTGAGTAGTTTCTTGAAAATCCACCCCCCAGACCCCCCCTCCCCTTCATGAAAATAAAAGGGGGACGCGCGCGAAGCTACCATGCAGTAAGTCGAATGAACCATTGCTATCATGATCTGAAATCATGATCTGAAAAAGGAATACAGTTCTGTAAGAGATCCACCAATCATTGGCGTACGGTATTGTAAGACGAAATCGTACGGACGGTAGAACTATTTTGTCTGCGGTTCTGTACGGTATGAGCACCACAACGTCCATTTCGTACCGTACGTACTGTGTTGAATTACGAAAGGAGTTAGCGATCCGTGAGTGAACGAAACATCAACATCAACAACAAAATCACTACCATGTACGGTACGATACTTGTACGAACAAGGGGCGTGTTGCATCACATCTTCACTACACGTCATAACACATTCTGGGTCTCGTACAGAATTACCGTACTGCCGTACTACGGAAATGAATGCTCCAGTGCGTACGGGGTAGCCCGCCAACATTACCAATTGCCTGTAATTGTCAACTTTGGATCGTCAATTACTGTAGAATGTTAATTGGTACACGGTGGGATTGTATGAATGAAACCCACCATTCCACAGACTGCGAATCGAAAACAAAAAACTTAAGGCCAACTGTAGCATTAACCTCTTCGATAGCGCGACAGTTCCAACCCCGAACATTCGATTGAAACTCGAAGGTCGTTTTGTTGGATAACATTGCGTCCATCAGGATACGGTGATCTTGTGAAAATGAGATTTCATCCCTTGGCAGTGTCAGTTGCTGTGGGTGCATTGGCGTCGTCTACAAATGTGGATGCCTTTGTGATCCCCAATTCTTCAACCTCATCTCAAACTGCTACAGCAAAGTCGAGATTGGCATCGGCATGGATGGCGGGCAACGACAATCAGTACGTAAATCTCGAAGAAAATTTGTTCAAACCCAACTCAAAGGTCAATGATGCCACTAGCGCAAACACAAAAGATGCCACGACCATCGAAAGCAGTAGCATGGCTCCGATAGAGAATGAGAAACCGAAGAAACCGAAAAATGTCAACAAACGGGCTGAAAAGATCCGAGCCCAACTCGAGGCCGATCTCGCGGCTGCCGAAGAATCGCGGACCCGTACCGCAAAACAATTAGCAGACGCCGAAGCAAACAGGCTTGCACTAGAGGCAGAAGCTGGGAAAGCAGCAAAGGAAGCAGAAGCGCTGGAAGCTAAATTCAACGCATTCCAAGCGAAAGAAGCCGCCAGAGCCGCGGGTGGTGGTGGTTTGAGTGCCGCAAGCATTGTGGGCGAAATTGCTGGTCCGCTTGTAGGTGGTTTCGCCACCTTTGGAGGGTTGGCTATCGCTAGAGACTCTTTGGCTTCGCGAAGTAAAAAGGCCGAAGAAGAACGGTTGGAAAGAGAAGAAGCAGAACGGCAAGCAGAAAAGGCGGCCAAAAGGCAAGCTGCCCAGGAAGCACAATCTAAGAACACGTTGCCGATTGTGAGTGGACTTGCTGGATTGGGTGCCTTTGGAGCTTTTTTGGGCTCAGGTAGTTTTGGAGGAGGAGGTCAAGTTGATGGCAGCGTAGACGCCTCATCGAAGCAACAACCAAATATCAGTAAGGGAAATGATGTCGAATCTGTCACAACGGCGGTTCCCGACCCCTACGCAAATGTTGAACTACCTTACCTCGAAAAAGAAATCGCCAAGGCCGAAACAAAGAACAAGCCGAAACTATCACGACCGAAATCGAAGAAGCAGCTGGCACGAGAGGCCGCGGAAGAACAAAGGGCAACAGAAGCGCGATTAGAGCAGAAATTGGCGGAAGCCCCTGAGCTCGCGCGAAAAGCCGCGGAAGCCGAGGCAAAAGCTGTAGCAGAAGCACAAGCCGCCGAGCAAGCAAAAATCGAGGCCGAGAAAAAAGCTGCAGAAGAGAGGAGCCTAGCAGAAGCTCAAGCCGCTGAGCAAGCCAGAATTGAAGCTGAAAGAATGGCAGCAGAAGCGAAGGCTGCGGAGCAAGCGAGGATAGAAGCTGATAAAAAGGCAGCGGAGGCAAAGGCAGTTGAGGAAGCAAGGATCCAAGCTGAGAGAAAGGCAGCAGATCTGAAAGCTGCAGAGGAAGCAAAAATCAAAGCAGAGAGAGAGAGGGCCCTTGCTGAGAAGCGTGCTTTAGATGCGAAACTAGCCGCCGAAAAAAAAGCTGCGGAAGAGATGGCTGCTGCTGAAGAAAAAGCCAAGGCGGAAAAAATCGCCGCAGACAAACTGGCGTTCGAAAAAATGCAGGCAGAAGCAGCAGAGAAAGCTAAGGCAGAGAAACTGGCTGCGGATAAACTAGCCTTTGAAAAAATGCGAGTTGAAGAAGAAGCGAAGGCCCAAGCTAAGATCAAAGCCGAACAAGCCGCCGCCCTCGAATTGTTGAAACAACAAGAGGAGGAATCAAAAGGTTTTCTTCCAAAGGTACCAGCTGTTGCAGAAATGCTATTCGGAAATCTCAAACCGTCCCAGATCACCGACAAAGGACTGTCAATGTTGTTTACCCCGAATACTCTCGTAGTAGGTGGTGTTGCATTGGCTGGAGTGGCTGTTACTGCGGCCGTCGTAGCAGCTGGTGAATCCCCAGAAGTGAAAAGCACCTTCAAAGTAACTGGGAAAACACCGAAGGAGTTCTTGGAATCGAAAGGTCCTGCTGGAAGCCAAGCGCCCTCTCCGAAAAAGACTATTCGCATTCCGAAATCGAAAGAACCAGAGAACCAGCCCTCCGTCAGAAAAACGCAGATTTCCCCGGTAGCTGGAAGCAAAGAGGCTCTTCGGGAACAGTTGGCCAAGCAAAGAGACAATATCAACCGCMAAGCATCAGAAAAATTGGCAAAGGCGTCTACTGATGGTCAAAATCCGACGCCACCTTCCTCTCTTCCAAACACTGATTCTCTTTCTACTATTGAATCGACTCTTGAGAATGTGGAAAATACGGAGCCTGCATTTGTTCCTTCCTCTACCAAGAAATCCTACTCTCCCTTCGGAGGAGGCAAACCAAAGGCTGTCGGGAACGATTCTCTTTATGCTCCTCCAGTGACTGAGACTTCATCAGTCGACACAAACCTGGTTAAACCAACTTCATCGCCTGAAGCACAAGGCTTTGATAGTGCATCAACTGCTGCTGTGCCAAAAAAGTCTTACTCTCCTTTTGGAGGAGGCAAACCAAAGGCTGTCGGGAACGATTCTCTTTATGCTCCTCCAGTGACTGAGACTTCAGCAGTCGATACCCCTCTAGTTGAACCAACTCCTCCGATTGTAGAACAAAGCTTTAGTGATAATGCATCAGTTGCCGCTGTGTCAAAAAAGTCTTACTCTCCTTTTGGAGGAGGTAAACCAAAGGCTGTCGGGGATGATTCTCTCTATGCTCCTCCAGTGACTGAGACTTCAGCAGTCGATACACCTCGAGTTAAACCAACTCCTCCGATTGCAGAACAGAGCTTTAGTGATAATGCATCAGTTGCCGCTGTGCCAAAGAAGTCTTACTCTCCTTTTGGAGGAGGCAAACCAAAGGCTGTTGGGGACGATTCTCTCTATGCTCCTCCGGCGCCTCAAGCTTCAGCGATTAACAGTAGTAGGAGAACGCCTGTAGTTGAACCAACTCCTCCGATTGCAGAACAGAGCTTTACTGGTGATGCTCCACCTGCTACATTACCTAAAAAGTCTTACTCTCCTTTTGGAGGAGGCAAACCAAAGGCTGTTGGGAATGATTCTCTATATTCTCCCCCCCAGGGCACTTTTTCTTCTTTTGAAGAGACAGAACAGTTTTCAACCAACAACAGTAATGCTCAATCCTCAGATTCATTTTTTCAGGATGAGCAAATTTCAGATATCCCCGAGGAATCTCCGTTGACATACAACGTATCCCCTCCAGCTCCAAAAAGTTACTCTCCCTTTGGTGGTACGAAACCCATGGCAGCCATGAGCGATCCGTTATATCGCCCTACGGCTGATCAACTTAACGAGCAAACTATTACATCGCCAAACCCATCATCATCGCCCCCGAGTAACTATTCACCATTTGGGGAGGTGGAATCCTTCGATTCTTCTGACAATTCTCTGTATGCTCCCCCATCTGATGATTCGTCTAGCACGACTCTGGATGTTGAGGAGACGTCGTCTATCCCAGAAACAAATACCTCTGACGCTCCTCCCGCCAAGAAGTCGTTTTCACCTTTTGGCTGGAAGCCCCAAGCCCCTAGTGATGCCGGAGGGAACAGCGGTGGGTACTTGGATGGGCTCTGAGATCATTAGATATGCCAATGATTCCAAAGAAATAATCATCTTCTTCTCATCGAAATTTCGCAGCATACTATTGCTGTTTCAAAATGTCAACTTTCGATGCATTGGGGTCATCTTGCATAACGGGCTCGCTAACATCCAAAGAATCAATAAGCTATATCCTACAATGCTGTGTAGGAGAAGAAATGGAAAGTTGAATTAAAAACAAGAGTTACCAATTTCTTCAACCGCATAGTTTTAATTTCTAAAAACCAATTTTGAAACCTGTCACTCCTTTTCACTGTAATAGTACTACTAGGATACTAGAGCGAATATTGGCTGCCTAGTTAAATTTGAACAATGTTTACTAGTAGTAACAACTACATTCTCCAAGTGCTTTTCTTTCTGACACTGATGTTGTTATTGAACAGCAACAACAACCCTAGTCTACCCTGACTTCCTCTCAATAGGTTATCCCCTTCAAGAGCAGCACACCTGGCGGAATGCTTGATGCTGCTCCAGTGTCATTTCTTGTTTGATCCTGATGTTTCTGAAACTTATGTCAGACAACAATAAAAGCCAAAACTTAAACATTGCCCCTATCAAAGGAAGAGTCAACAATGGTGAGGAGTATAGTGAAATAAATTTTGTTTCATGCAATGAACAATATTGATGTGTCTTAGTAGCCGTTGCATTGTATGTGCAATGGCAATTTGTTGTTCAAAGGCGCATAGGAGATTGAATTTGGTAGAGTCATGTGAGGAGAGAGCACACCTAAAAAAATCACCATGGTGGAGGTGATTTTTTTATTGGAAGGGTGTCATAACCTGAGGGAGTGACTATCAATTAGTGACGTAAATCATGTGCTAGCAGTAAAAAAGTGAGTCGGTCCTCTTATCGAGGATCGATAAACTATGAAATCAAAAATCAATCAGAATGAAGATCTAGTGATGTGTGAATTGAATGAGTCAAGTCAGTCACGCAAGTGAATCAAATGAGTCAAGTCACTCATGTGGATCCATAGGATTAAGTGACAAGTCATGAATGTAGAGTGTGTATGAATCATAGGCATGTGTCATATATATGTGTCATAGATATGAATTGTACTCACGCCGATCTGAAATCCTGCAGATAGCAACTCCTAGTACTAGTATTACTAGCTTTCAAGTTTGGCAACAATCTGACCCACACCTTTTCTTCAAGTCAATTCTTTCCTACTAGTAAATAGGGACTACTAGTACTAGTACTAGTACTACTAGTAAAACAGGCTTTACACTACTACTAGTACTACTAGTAGTAGGTATTTGTTGTCTGATGTCATATCAACAGCCATCAAATTTGACTTGATGATTGGTACTTGTTGTTGGACAGAATGCAATAACTATTACTGTGATGTAGTAATACAAGAAGAAGAACAACAACAACTTCTTTTGGAGTATTTTACTAGTAGTGAACTACTAGAGGATACTACTAGTAGTAGAAAAAACAGATCTTCTCCTTCTTAGACACAACTAGTACTAGTAGTAGCTAGTAATAGTAGTAGTAGTAGTAGGAGTACACTATATTTAGATCATCTTCTTCTCTTCAGTCAAGAAGTGAACAATGGGTGAGTAAGAAGAAGGAGATAGTACTAGCTACTAGTACTACTACTAGTACTAGTTTTGGTTGGACTTGAATACTAGTAGAACAGTTGAGAATACAGATGAGTATTAATGAGAGGAGAGATTAGTACTACTACAAGTAGTAGTTTAGGTGGACAGTGTCCTCCTTTGTCTTATCATTTCTTGTTCTTTCTTGTCATCACAGCATTGGTTGTGGTGCTGGTTGTTCGTTTTTAAGAACAACAATGACGGGAGGCTCTCTCCAAATTTGTTTACAGAAAAAATAAGTACAACTTTGTACCAGACTACATCATAGACTGGGATAATTACTAAAAGTCCCCCCCTCTGCCTAACCCATCAACAGGAAACTAGTATTACTAGTATTACTACTAGTACTACTACTACTACTATCAATTTTGATAGCTTTTTCTGGAGCATGACATAGTTTTATCAGCATGACAATGCATCTGAAACATTAAAGATAGAGGAAACAATAAGATGTAGATACTGCAGTACAACTGCATTTCTAATAACCGGGAAAGCACCAATTGCTGCAGCATTGCCACAAGGAGCACCAGCAGGTACCGGTACGGTACCGGTATTTTGCAACTAAAATTGCATTATCATAATTGCCTCAACGGCCACGAATTTCCCTACTAAATAGGCCTATGACCCAAATATGCAACTACCGTAACTCATACCCCTCTTTTTGCAACTGTAATGACTTTTTTGTGTGGTTATTAACACGAGAGAACAGTATATCACATTGTAACAGAGGTGAGACTCATTAGCCTTTGAGTTGCAGCATTCTCGGCCCTTGAAAATACGTGGTGAGTGCAACAATGCAACCCGGCCGGTCATTACTAATGTACCGGTATTGGATGAATGGAGGTGCAAACTAATAGTAGTACGTACATTAGTAATTTTTTGATCACTAATCCTTCTTATCACAAAATATGGAGGATGCTTGCTGATATGGTGGACGCTTACTACTGATATGGAGTGTTTGTTGCTGATCCGGAGGATGCTGATCCGGAGGCTCGCTGATCCGGAGGATGCTGATACGGACGCTGATCCAGAGGATGCTGATACGAGCCGCTGATACGAGCCGCTGATACGAGCCGCTGATACGAGCTGCTGATACGAGTCGCTGATACAGAAGCTCACTGATACGGTGTCCGCTGATATGGTGTCCGCTGATACGGTGTCCGCTGATACGGTGTCCACTGATACGGTGTCCGCTGATACGGTGTCCGCTGATATGGTGTCCGCTGATACGAGTCGCTGATACGAGTCGCTGATACGGTGTCCGCTGATACGAGTTGCTGATACGGTGTCTGCTGATACGGTGTCCGCTGATACAGTGTCCGGTGATACGGTGTCTGCTGATACGGTGTC